CTCATTCGGGTGCTTCCGGTGGAATTCCTTTATTTGTTTGAGTCTATTATAGAATTCAGCAAATTCATTCGGTCCTGAAATAGCATTGAGCTCCTCCTTTCGTAACCTATAATTTTAGGAAAAATTAAAATTTCTTTAATCATGGCTCTCAGAAGCACTAACTCACAGACTGGCTACAATAGTCACTTACCCATCCTTGTCATCATACAAATCCCTCAGGTTCCCACTGACCTCCATGTACCTCTGAAAGGCAAAAACAAGTCAATTAACATGCAGCAGTGTGTATAAATCTTGAGCTAAGCAACTAAAAAAGCTTCGCTCAGTGGTAGAGTACACTGCCTGGCACATGTAAGATCCTGGGTTTTATCCCCAGTACCATTATAATAGCAAAGTTCCTGGCCAGGTATGATAGTGCACACCTATAACAGTACTTGGGAGGCTGAGGCAAGACTGCTGTAAGTTTGAAGCCAGCTTGGGCTAAGCAGTGAGTTCAAAGCCAGGTTGGACTACATAGTGGGACTCCCATCTCAAAAAAAGTTCCCATGTGTTCCAGTCTTTACAGATTATCGGTAGCTAACATTTCTTGTAACAGGTTCATCCTCCTTCAGATGAACGCCTAACATTCTCTAAGATAAAACGATAATTCGCAACTTTTACTACTTTGAAAACCTTGGGTGATAAGTACATAGGGTAATACAAACATCATACTGACTAAGAAACTTTCTTTCCAATCAAAGCATATTGACTCAGGATGGCACAGACCCAAGCTCTTCTCCAAAATCTTCATGGTCAGATTTATTTCATAATTCTCTCTCTCCAGATTTGTTCCAGATTTTTTTTCCTCCCTCCCTCCCTCTGTGTTTTTCTTTTACAGTGCTGGGAATCAAACTTGGGTCCTTGCAAAATGCTCTACCACTCAGCTCAGGGCTCTACCACTGAGCTCCATCCCTGGCCCTGTAATTTTTACATTCAGAAAGGTACAATACATGGTATAATGTCCCTGGTAGAATATGAAGCCTATGTGTTCATGCAATGGTCATTATGTACTACTAAATGGAGCAAGTAAAAACGACAAAAAGAATTTACTAATAAGTTCAGGTCAAATTTTGCTACAAATGTATACCAAAAAACAAACAAAAACAAAAAGAAAGTCCCTTGGTTCTCAGAGTAGTTCTGACTTGGGAACTTACAGTACTGGTAGCTTTGTAATCTGTCTCCTGCAAATCAGAAGCGCTAAGTTGTCTTTTGTTGTTGTTTTTCCCTAAGACAGGGTCTTGCCATGTATGCAGTGCAGGCTGGCCTTGAGTTCACAGCAATCCTCCTGACTCAGCCTCCCAAGTGCTGGGTCAACAGGCATGCACCACCAGGCCTGAGCACTAAGTCTTTTATATCTTTCTTTTAAATAGATTTCAAATCTATGAATATAGACCATAGTATTACAAGCCCCCATTAAATGATCAGTCAGCTTTAGTTTTGTTTTGGTCCTTTTGAGACTGAGGGTCACTATGCAGTTCAGGTTGGGCTTGGGCTCACTTTGTAGCCCAGACCAGTCTCAAACTTGAGATGATTCCCGTGCCTCAGCCTCCCCAGTGCTGGGATTACAGGTGTGCACCACCACACCCAATCTGTATTTTTTTTTTTTTTTTTGCGGAACTGGGGATTGAACTCAGGCCCTTGCGCTTGCCAAGGAAGTGCTTATTCTACTGAGCCATCTCCCCAGCCCCCCCAATCTGTTTTTTTCTTGTAGTTTTTAAAAAGTCATTCACGTTGTAAAAAGTACAGCCAGGTTATTTATTGTGTGATTTGGTACCTGGAATTGAACTTATGACCTTGTGCTTTCCAGGCAGGCGCGGCACCACTGAGCTATATTCCTGGCGCTTATCAACAATTTTTAACTAGATGGGTTTTTTCTTTTTAAATAGGAAACTGAACTGTTATTGGGCAAATACCATTTAATAAAATTATTTCGAGGGCTGGTGAGATGGCTCAGTGGTCTAAAGCACCTACTTCGAACAAGCTTAGCAAAGCACAGGGACCGCGGTTCAATCCCCCAGCACCACATGCCTGCCAGCCCCGCCCCCTGGTGGGCTGAGCTGGCCACACACACACATAAATAAATAAAAAATTAAAAAAAAATTATTTCGAAACAGTGTTCGGGAAGGAAAACACTTCCTATGTTAATACTTCCGTTCTTGAGGGAAGAGACTGAATTCTGCGTTGGAGTCATGGTCCCCCTTTATTCTTTGCACATCCGAGGGTAACAGGATGCTTAACAGGGCATTTCTCTCTCTCTTTATAAAACTTTTATTTATTTATTTATTTATTTAAATTTTATTGAGAGACAAATATGAATGAGACAGTTTCAAAGCTGATTAATAGGATAGTTTGGATAAACAAAACATTGTACACTGTTATCTTCTTAGTGGTTATCCACAGTACAAGAAGCAGGTAGGATATCCTGTCCAAACACTGTTAGTACACCTCTTTCTTCTCATTGAATTAAGCGAAAGTAGTTGTGTATCTAGCCTAACTACTTTGTATATATAAATACAAAATGATCTTTCCTGTATATCCCCTGACGGCATTTCTCCAAGCAATGTAGAATGAATGAGTGCCCCACTTCCGAGGTGCGATCCTCAGGTTCACTCCGCAGTGGACTTCAGCCCAGGAGACAACCCGAGACTGGCCGATCCAGTCACCTCCGGCCAGTCACCTCACGATGAAACCCCGCCCACTCTTTTCCCGCCCATCACCGCAAACCGAAGCAAGTTAGCGGGGCGAGCACTCACATCTTGCATGGCGCGAGTGCGATGGTCGGAATTGATCTGGTCCCGGAGCTAAAAAAGAAGGGTACACGATGACACAGACTGGTAAGAGCTCTGCAGCTGAAAAGGCCTGTCCCGCGCGGTGCCTCCCTGCCGCAGTCTTAGCGGCTGAAGCAGAGCATCCTCCGGGGCGCTGCGCCCCTCTAGGACCTGACCAAAGCCAGAGCCCCTAAGGAGCTCGGCAGAACCGCGAGGCGGCGCGGGGCGCGGGGCGCGGGGCCGGGATGGTCTGAGGCCAAAGAAGGCTCTCAGCGGCAAGACGCGGACCAGGGGTCCAGCCTATGTTGTAGCTCCTGCCCTGCCCCACTCACCGTAGACTTCTTAGTGAGCATCTCTTTAGCCATTACGTCCATAAGCCGTTCCTTCTCCTCATGGTACCGCCGCTGCTGCTCGAGAATTGTCTCCATAGTTCCTTGGCGGAGGCACAATTCAGGCCACGGCCGCGACCGGAAACAGCTCCTGCCGCCTCGCGTGCCTGCGTCGCAGTGCTGCGCATCCGGCCTCACCAAAGTTCCGCTCGTACCGGAAGTGCTTCGGGGACTCCAGGAAAAATGAGCACCACAAGAAGAGCCGGTGTGTGCTACCGAGATGGCAACAGTGCCCCCTGCTGGTCCGGGGTGTAGCGGCGTGATGCCCAGTAGCTCTCAGATCCTTCTAAGAGGAACACAAAAATCTAGGAACCTTAAGACTAGTGACTGCTGGCCTCCTGATATAATCTGGGGGCAACTGGGCAGTCAGGGACACGTGTGGCATGAGTAATCAGGGAATACGTATGAGTTGGGAAACAAACTTGAGTCTGTAGTTTTCAGTTTGAAAACATTTTTCCCTTCTCTAGATCTTGTCTTTTTAGTAAAATGGGGGTGGTGGTATTTTATTTTTGGCCGAACGGAGGGATTGAACTCAGGTCCTTGCGCTTGCCAGGGAAGTGCTTATTCTACTGAGCCATCTCCCCAGCCCGTGGTTGTTTTTTATTCTAACAAAATCCCCATGTGGAAATAATCGCATTGTCCATTCGCAAAGGACTCATCAAGGGCCGGGGAGATGGCTCAGTAGGATAAGCGCTTTCCTGGCAAGCACAAAGGTCTGAGTTCAATCCCTAGTTCCTAAAAAAAAAAAAACCTCATCAAATAAAATATGATGCAAGCCAAATGTTCTATAACCATCTTGAAAAAAAAAAAAAATCAAAACTCTTTGTCCGCTTCTAGGTGGAGAAATGATGAAACCACATCACTTTGTTCAGATGCAACCTGAGTTCACTAATAGTGAACGGATAATCACATAATAAAGGAATGCTACAAAGATGAACCATGAAAGGATCATGCTACATGAAGAAGGTAGATACACATATGCCACAGGGTGAAATGTCCACATGAAAATCTGTGGAGACACAGGGAAGATGAGTTGTTGCTTGTGACTGGAGACTGGAAGGGACCACAAATGGACACAGGGAATCCTTTATGGAGTGACAAGAATGTTCTAAAATAGGGTTTTAGGGCCAGGGAGACAGCTCAGTAGAATAAAAACTTGCCTGGCACGTGCAAGGTCCCAAATTTAATCCCTCATACAGCAGCAAAAATAAATAAATAAATAAAATAGGATTTTAGTCATAAGGATATACAGCTTTATTAAATTTTCTAAAATGAGTTGAATTGTACACTTAAAATGGATGAAGGGCTGGTGAGATGGCTCAGTGGTCTAAAGCACCCACTTAGAACAAGCTAAGCTTAAGCAAAGCCCAGGGACCACGGTTCAATCCCCCAGCACCACATACCAGCCAGCC